CAATGTTCTGTCTGCATGTATCCCTTCAGGCCAGAAGAGGGTGCCAGATCTCATTACAGATGGTTGTGAGCCACCATGTGGTTGCTGAGAAATGAACTCAGGACCTCTGGAAGAACAGCCAGTGCTCTTAACTTCTGAGCCATCTCTCCAGCCCTGTCTTTGCTTTCTTGTATTATTTCTTTACTTTTGATGTTCCCATGCTCTACTTTTGCCCCTGTTGGAGTAATATGAATTTTTTTGAGACAGGATGAAGAAATAACAATGAAGAATAAGCAGGAATTAAGAGGCAGTCAGTCACTGAAAGGAAAAATGAGAAAGAGAGAAAGTTATGGACTTATTAGAGATTGACAGTATTCTATAGGAAATAATAATCAAGCACTATAAAAGAGCTGTCATTTTTAGTCCTTTCTGAGAAAATAAATAAGCAACTCCTCTAGATTTTTTCTTGCATGTTCATAAAAACAAACCATGACAAAGAGTGTAACTGACTCCTAGAGACTGACTCACTCAGGGAAACAGGATCAGAGGGATTTTAGTCAGGTGGGTCTGTAGTACCAGAATCTATTGTGATGAAAACAGCAGTTATTTGTTTCTCATCTGAGATTACCCATGCAAATGAATAGAATAGGACTTTTTGAATCTACAGTTCAAAAGAAAAGAGAGACTAAAAACTTTCACATTTTAAATTGTAGAACAGCTATTTAAGCCAGGTTGTGGCACACATGCAAAACCAACACTTGAGAGGCAGAGGCTGGAGGATCAGGAGTTCAAGATATCCTTAGCTACACAGAGAGTCAGAGACTAGCCTTGGCTACATGAGATCCAGTCTCAAACAAAACTCTGAACACTCTTGGGCTTAACTCATTTGTCTAAGAGAAGCCATTGAACAGCTTTCTGAGATTCCCAGCTCAACACAGTAATGATAAATTGTCAACCTGCTAAGTCTACCAAGGGCTTTCAAAGCTGACTAACACCCTAGGATCTGCAGACAAAAAGAAAGATTACCAGCAACTGGGCTATAACTGAGCTCTGAAGGGACTCTGAAGTCTATCCAGAGTGAATGTGTGCAGGTAGGCACCCTCAGCTATCCAGAGTGAATGTGTGCAGGTAGGCACCCTCAGCTATCCAGAGTGAATGTGTGCAGGTAGGCACCCTCAGCTA